TTTCTATACTGCTAATCTGTATTAAATCTGTTGCCCTTATTTTATTGTTTGTTGCAATATGTTCTAACTGTTTACTATTTTGTAATTCTCTCATTGTTTATATTGCCAGAATTAATGCCATCAATAGTCCGCCTTCCATAGGGGCTAAAATGTGTGGAAGTTATCTGTAAGGCGCGAAAATCTGCAAATATTTTGAAAATATACTTTGAAGTCCAAATTTTTTAACTTCAATATTTCTTTTAAAATTTACGATAAACAACGGTAAAGAAATCTGAGGTTGCCGTTGAAAATAGTGAGGAAAAGAAGTAGGTTACAAGTTACAACAAAACGAGCACAGATCTTGGAGAGAAAAAAATGACAGTGGAAAACTGACACACAAACATGCTAGATAGCAAGGATGGCAACTTTTGTCACTGAATGGGTCACAAATATTTTCATCACGATAGAAAAAACATGTACGTCATAGATATCACCAATAACTGCTTTAATGAGAAACTTGCTGTTGCAATTTTCTGCAAAGCCTATAATCCTGGGTTGTTACTGTATCGAGTAGCTTCGAGCTTCACACATGCAGTACCTATTTGTATTAGGACCGAGGCAGTTAAAATAAAATTCTTGTATGAAAATAAGCTCAAAACAGCTCTATTGTACAGTTATGTCATAAAAATAGTACTGCAGACCTACTGCTTCTAGTAGCAAGACACAAATAAGATTAAACCAATTAGTAACCATATGTACCCCCAACAACCCAGTGACCTCCACACTAGTGAAAAGTTACAGGAATGTGCTTGCAGACAATAATACCGTGAATAAACTGAATCGCTTCGAAAAAGATTCTATTCGTGAATCCAAAAGTGACATCCCTAACTACAACTTCTTAGGTTTAAGAGTCGGGATACTTAACATTGTAGATTTGTATGTATTTATATATGATTTATACAAATGTAGCCTACCCCGGCGAAGTGGATATAACCAGGACTCAGAGGCTCAGCCAACACAGTTAGGCGATCACAACTATATTATTCTGTGCGCTTTAACGCAATTGACAAGCTATGTTGTTGATTGTAATCCAGCAAAGATAGAAAACGTATTTTTTCATCGGTTTGAAATAAACATGAATTTGAAAGTGACTCTGTTAATAGTTGGGCGCATAAAAGGAGAGAAGTGTTTTATACTTCTTTAGACTTTTTTTTTATTTCAAACTCCCCGTAAAATCACTTTGATTTATACAAAACAATCATGGCATGGCGCATTGAAAAATAAGTTGACTTCAAGTAAGAGTTTACATTTAATACATAGTGAGAGTTTACATTTGATCAATGCAAAACTTGAACCTGTTTTGGTGCATATAAACGATATAACGTCACTGGTTATCTCATATCCGCGAGTCGAACAGCACGCTCAAATAATTTTTATCGTTTTCATTTTAAATGCGGGCACAGTAAGAAGAATGTTTCACGACAGATATACATATATGAAATTAATTTGGGGAATTACTTGCATATATCATCAGAACAACAACAAGACCAACATAATATTGAAACGATCGTTATGTCCATTTCGTGTCCAAAAATTCTGATTTTAACCTCCAGCCTTAACGTAACTTAGCTTAAGAAACATCAAGCATCAGAAATAAAATAATAAGAAAAGTTTATAGAAAAAGGCTGTATGCAGCTACTAGCGACAATGTTGGCTGTTACAACGCTCATGGCATAACAATGCAATTGATCTGTTCATTTCTTTACACAAAACTCGTCTTGGAACAGCAGTTCCCTTTCGGAGGTGCCAAAGGGACGGCAAGATGTTATAGATATTCAGAGGAACGTTTTGGAGACAGCGTGTCGTGTGTGCTAGGAAGCAGAATATACATGTTACGTATATGTTACGGATAGCAAAATGTGGTTAAATGTAATCTAGTTGGATAACCTGACGTTGTAAATACCAGGGGGCAGGGATAAATCATAATATATATATATATCCTTCATATTTTCAGTTCCTGTGTCCAAAAACTAATTAACATGACTAGCACTATAGCACATAATGTTTGATGGGCCACAATTGCGCCTAATTCACTTCAAGCGCAATAATAAATTTATCGACGGAACTATCATTCGATTCTTATGCTTCTATGATTTGAATTAGTGGTATAATTCTCTGACTTTATCCTGGTTGGTGATGAGTGTGAAGTCATACAGATATACTTTCTGGAGTTGTCTCATTCACGCTAAAACCTTATGTTAACGAGAATATAGAATATACACTCTGACGTATGTTTAGATGTATGGACGTCTTTTGAGAGAATAGACCTTTGCGTTGCGTTATGGAATCTGTTTTTTCGAATATGTAGTTTTGCGCAGAATATATGGTGAGTTGGCTTGTATGAGCAGTGTGTATAAATATCTAGTACAGTATTTTGGAGGTTATAGAATATAGATGATGTCCTGTGATGCGTCTCAACTTAACCAAAAAAAAAATGAATCCCTTTACAAACATGAATTTTTGCAGATAATATTGAACGAAAATATTCCCCAACGAAACAAATTCATCCTAATTGGACACGAAGTGGACATAACGATCGTTTCAATATTATGTTGTTGTTGTTGTTCTTGTTCTTGTTCTTGTTCTTTGACACGTTTTTAAAAAGTCGCTTTTCTCTTCGAATACTGGACCAATTGCTTTGAAATTTTCAGTGGTTGAAGATAAAATTTTTCTCCAGAAGGCTATTACTTTTATTTATTTTAAAATTTCCTGTGGACTTCGAGAGATTCGTTTTTTGTGTTCAAAGAAGTGATCAGAATAAAAAATAGTGACACCTTGTGGCGATTGCGCGAAGGCATATCAACTGAGAAGCGATCGTAATTCTTGCTCCGCTAAGAGTTGTTTATGGGGAATCGAGATGTTTGGGGTTACCGACTTACCGGTACCCGCAATGAAAGGTTTTTGAGGTACTGTTTCGCTCGGTGTTCAATCAATCAATCAATGTTCACTTTCCATATATTTCAGTATTTGTAGACTGTGGTTCCCGTGTTAAGCGAAAGTGATACCGGTACCGGTACGATAGCTGGGAAAGCTATGACAGTCCCTGTGGCCTGTACGGCACGTACCGGTACCGTTTACAGGTTTACGTACCGTCTTACCGATACCGGTACCGTAGTCCGTTACGGTACGTACCGGTACAGCTGTACAGGTACGATATCGGTAGACTAGTACAGTATTACTGTACTAGTTGCATTAATTATATTTGTTTAGAGTGTGTGCCTGCATTGAAATTAAGTTTTTGTAATGAGCCAGCATGTCTGCACAGCTGCTATGCCTTTCTGATTTTTCGCTGTTTCGTTACATTTTTTGGAAACAACATTTGCATAAATACGTATGGTACCGTATGCAGAGGAAGGAACTTCACAAAAATTTCAACATGTGCAGCAGGTTAGTGTACATAAATCAGTAAATACAGAAATATGCAGAGGAAGAGACTTTACAAAAAGGATAAGATTTACATAATTATCCCGATGGAGAGGAAAGCCTATAGAACGGCTTAACCATATTGCGAACCACAGCCTCTTGTCTGGTTACCGGTAAGGTACCATTCCAAGTCTGGTATGGCTGTATGGGATTAGTTAGTTCAGTAGTTATATTGTTCAGTTTTATCAATATAAATTGATCGATAGCCTACTCACCTATTTTAAAAATCAAATTGTTGCAATTTGCAGATGTGAGATTGAAATATATGACCACTGTACAGTCAATGACGTAGGTATGTGCCGTATCATATCAAGTTTATTTACATGTTTACTCTTCCTGCATTTGCAGTCAAATTAACTTATTCCATTTTTTTGTACGCTTGCACAGCTGCAATGTTTATGCTCATCTTTTAGCCTTTTTTCATTACAGTTCTGCGGTAAACAACATCAATATGCTAATAAAGAAGCTTTACAATCTTTCCAATAGTGTTCAACATGTTATGAAATATGGTGGTCGCGGATTCATCAATGCAAAAAATATTTGCCGGTTTAACAGCGTGATGCAATTATTGCAAATAGTTTTCGTGTCCATATATTTGAGCATTGCTCTCTTGTTTTCTTGTGCATTGCCATCAATATGGCTAGACACTCTCATATAAAAGTCCGCAATGTCAAAATTGTCTTCGCAAAAATGTATGGTGTGAAAACATTATTATATCGTGAAAAATATTCACTCTCAAAATTACATTTTCACAATATTCAATCATCGCTAATTTCTCTTTACGTCATACTTTCCTTTTTAAACCATTTCTTTCAATTCGCCACCAACAGAGGGCGCTCGGTCACCTGGTATCTTCTGTGTCGATGCATTTTCATCTTAATACCTTCATAATTGCAACACTGGTAAACCCATGGGTGCAAGATAATAAACTATGTCTACATTGATCACATCAATTACGATATTTATGATAGTAAACGAACGCTTGTATCAATTCAATTCCAAAATGTTCGAAGTTTCGTAACAAAGCTTTTCCGATTGTCGGTATTCTTGGTTGCTTTTGATTGATAAATTTACGACAGAAACTTTCACACCATAGTAAAACAATTAGAGTAAAACTCATTTAGACCGTTTTCTAGGCTTTTATTACTTACCATTACTACTATACTAACATAAAAAGAGCAACAATAAGATGTAGCAATCATGATGCACGCTGACCATATAAAACCCAATACTTGCACTGCCACGCGACGACTGGTAATATCTTCGCTTGGCGATTGTGCCACGTTGGCGACATAAGTTGGCGCTAAATTAATTTCATCACACACACTATTTCGAAGTCCTTTACCAAATGATAATGGTCCACAGAAAAATTTTGATTTTAACCTTCAACTTAAGAAACATCAGAACACTACTCAGCGTTTCCTGCAGAATACCATCTTTCGTGAGTTGAAAATACATTTAAAAAAATTCAAGTCAACTACCCCCTATTCTGATTATTCTGTAAACCTCGAAATTATTCGATTAGAATTACAATACATAAATAGAACGCGCTTTTCAAAGAGTACTTTGAAATATATTATGAAATGCAGACACAAAAAGCAAAATTTGCGAACAAAGAAAGGTAATGAATAAATAAACTGCAGTAACACACAATAAGTCTTTTGCGCTATCACTGATGGTAATCTATAAGTTAAAGTTGAATGAATGCGAAAAGAGGTATATGATATTGAAAGTAGGACATGGAATCTGTGTAGAGTCACATTATTCACTTTTAGTAGTGAGAGTTCATTACATCCAAATGCAAATCTACAATCGTTGTGCAAATGGTGGTCATGGTAATGAAATATAATGCACAAGCCATAATCGGAAAAAGAAAATATCGTGTATATCACAGTTTGTGGGAGCAGAAAAAAATGATCACAGCTTTCAGGAAATAAGTATTATTTATATTTGTGTTATATTAATTCACAATTGCAAAATAGTAAAAATTATCTTATTTATCTTGAAGAAAAATAGCAATTGCTATGAACTGCAGAAAGTGAAAATAAAAAGTTCGAGACATGGCAAATAAAAGCAGAATATTTATGTAGTACTTGAGTGTCGAGAAGTGTGCGTGTTAGCTAGACTGCATTAGGTTATGTATCGGATTTACGCTAGCAAAATGTTATATTTAGCCTCAGCGGCTATTTAGTTCGACAATGAAAAGTGAATAAAACATTTTCACACATCAATCCACAATTGTTTAGCCATACCTAATTGGCGCCATCAGGCAGCATGGTTGTATAATGTATAGGTATTTCTATAATTATTTTTTAAATTGTCTAATATTGCGTAATTTGTATAATTTCTCTCTGATAACACGTGGTGGAAATTCTAGCAGAATATTTTGCTCTTTCTGTGATTCTAGAAAACGAAGTTTATATCAAAAATAATAATAAAGTTGCAATTTTGCTGACGATATCGCTCATTCATTTTGGAACAAGAGTTTTACAAGTAACATAACAGTGAAATGCTTCTTTGGTTTCATGAATGACGTCCCGGATTCATGTTACTCCTTGTGTGGAGAGATCTTTTACGGCCCGAGAGCGATTTCGAGTCAGAGTTGACATTCAATGTCTCTCAAATAATAGCTCAAAATGGGTGGACGTGTTCGATTTCTCCAAGCCAGGAACCGGGGCTGGTAGAAAAGTCACTGAAATTGGATCTTCCACTGGAGTTTGACCCCGCTTCCGCTTCATTTTGTCCCATCATGAAAGCGTTTTCATGTCCGATGCTTTGAACTTGTTGATAACTATGATTGGTGGCAAGTTTTCCATCGTTTGTGAAACCCATAACTCCAATTTGGGGAGGGAGGTTCTGAAATGCAACTGGGTTTATTCCTTGATGGGGTGCAGCTGGGGCGCAGTTCGGAAATGCACCCTGTTCTAGAGGGGGCACACAATTATTTCCGAAATTGTTTGGATTTCCCATTTCAGGGAAGGAGAACGCTTGGTCTGAAAACGGACTTTTTGAATCCATTTGCCCCATGCAATTTTCTTGGTATTCCAATTCAGATCGATGAATTCCGGTATCTATAAAATAAATAGGACAGTTTTTTATTGTACCGAACAAAATCTTGTGATTACCAGGCAGTAGTCATTTCAATTGTTTTTCTTAACGTTGTATCTTGTTCAGTAACGTTGATCCCGGTTAGGTCGTTTGAATAATTTGGCCTGGCAATGATCAATATGGCCGTTTATTCATTGCTTGACTCTACGCCTTCGTAGTGTGAACGAGCGACGCGTTCCGCCAAACTATCGGCTTTTCTTTATTGTATAAATATGATGTCCCCATCCTATTTTACTGTTAAAAAAATTATACATACCTAAATGAACTAAGTTAAATCCGGCATTTGGTGACTGCTGAGTAGCAGGATTCCCTTGTTGGTCATTACAAACTGACCCAACCCTTGAAGTAGTTTTAGACCTTCTTCGATTATTCGGAGGTGCAACGACATCGAGTGACCCTTGGCCATTTTCTGAAGGCAATTGTCCACGAGAGAAAAAATGTCCCCATCGTTGTCTTCCTGCGTCTTTTTTGATACGTTTCTCTTTTGCTCTTCTGTTTTGGAACCAAACCTGAAAGCGAATGGGCAGTTTTAATATTGGACGATTGCATGAATTTTATCTCCAATATATTTGAATTCATTACAGATTAATAAAAGTACTAAAAAAGTAATTATCATAATAATATGTAACATTTAATTTTATATTTGTTTGGGTGATACGTAGAAAATGAACACGTTTATCGTATATCATAATATAGTTGAGGCAAGTTAAAAATGCTAACCTGCACTACTCTCATGTCAAGTCCAGTTTCAGAACTCAATTGCTCCCTCACGTGTCGAGCGGGCTTTGGACTCTGGTTATAAGCTATCTTCAAAGTTTCGAGTTGCTTTGCTGTGATAGTTGTCCGTGGTCGCTTGATACCATTTTCAATTTCTGCATCTAGGAAAATAATAAAATGTTTATGTGTGTGATCTAAATATAAACTGTTATTCAGTGGAAATATAAAAAAAAAGTGGAATGGATGTTACGATAAATATCAAATGAAAAATAAAGAAATATTTTCTGGTTTCACAATTTTTAGGAATTTCTGAATATAGCAACGTAAACGTTTCCTAAAGTAAGAGATGCCACTAGGCTGTAAGAGAAATGACCTCGCGAATTCTTTTTATTTTTCCCAGAGGGACGTTTAAATCTTATTAAGGTTTTGGTCGATGCGAAAAGTTAATAGAGTTATAACGAAGGTGAGGCGAACGCGGGCGTGACGTTTGGATTGCATGTGAACTTTGCAATAAGTTGGACAACTGAACGTCACCGTATGGTGTACAAATATCGTTTCATTCAATAAACTTAAAAACTCCATTAATGCGTCCTATTTTCTAAAACCACCATCTTGTGACAGATATATAAAACGTTTTGCAAATAAATCAATTCGGCTTATTATTTGGCCGTGTGAACATTTTAGTCGATCAATTGTGCTTACGACCCGATACAAAGTGCCTTAAGAACTAACCTCTTGCTGGCTTGCGTTCGTGCTTTTCAACACAGCAAGAGAGCGACGCCAGTCATATAGGGTTATTCAAAATGGGCTTAAGATTATCAAGCAAAAATAATCGCTTTATTGATAAACTAAATTTCGGATTTGCAATGTACAACAATAAATCAAGCATGTGCCATATATACGGTAAATCTCGTCTATGCCGAATTTAAATGTGCCACAGTGTTTACCGGGTACGTCATAGCGATCAAGCTACTCACCTCTTGACTTGGCTTGCTCGTAGTCTTTCTTGCAAACGAGTCTGTTGTCTTCGAGCAAGTAAAATTGGTCACCAGTTCCCATTTTTTCATGACACAAAAAGCATCGGAAGCATTCCAAGTGATAAACGCTGTCTTGAGCACGTCTTACTACCTCGGTGGGTGGAATTCCATGACCACATGCTGTACACTTTGAACCAAAACGCCTGGGAAAAATAGTTCGGATATTGTACATTAGTAAAGAATATTTCTATATCTTTAATAAGTTTTATAGAAGAGAAAGCAAAAATGTACAATGACATTATCCAGGTTGAATTTTCGCAACTATGTTATTTTTTACGTATCATTATTAATTATTCGTATATATTTCAATATTGAAGTATGTTTTGAATTCTTACTTGAAAAAGTCATCTTTGCAAAAGACCATATTTCCACGAGAAAAACATTTATCTGATAGCTGTACGGAACAATCGTTACATTTTAGACAATGCGAATGCCATGGCTTTTCTTGAACTTTCAGAATAAATCTGTCGAATATATGATGTTCACATCCAGTGCATTTCGGGATTTCAGCTGAAATAAACAATAAAAAAATTAATAAGGTTGCAAATAGTTTCATTTGGTTAACTTTAGATTCAATTAACTGTAACGATTTATAATGATGTACTTTCAGGCAGATGCCTTAGTTATAGAAGCGCTCTCGATTCAACTTACAAAGTATAGTTATAATATCCCTAATTTGATTCAAACTTCCTTTTTCTTCTGGGCGTGGGCTTTTGGCGTGTATGTTCTTGCTCCAGATTATTTCAGAAATTTCGGTTTCGTCCTCATTTTCGACATTATCGTCTCCGTTTATCAGAGCCGTATTCGAATTCTGAGTTGCAATTTTGATAGGTACATCGATGCATCCAGGAGAAAATTGAGCAATATCTGAAATGTTGCCTTCTTGAGGTTCAGATTCTTCTTGATTACTTGCTGAAACGGAGTCCTCTACGTCTAACGTAAAATTTAAAGCAAACGGCGATGCAAGTGCCACCGACGACAAGGACATTGAATGTTTAGTTGATGCCAGGTCGGTGTAAGAACCTTCCATTTGCGAAGGTGATGTTGAAATTTTCGTCAAAGCTGGTGATGCTGAAGTATATCCAGAGTCCAATCGATTTTCCACTCGTTCCTTTAGAGTGTGAGAAATACCAAGTGGAGTTCCGTATGGATTAAATCGCCTTTGTTTTCTGCTGCTACGATATTCGCAGAAGTTTTTCATTTCCGAACTTTTTAATATTGGAGTATTGAGCAAGTTTGGTGAAACAACGATTTGCTCTCCGACGGTTGCCATATTTAATCTTTCGTTATATGCAGATAGATAACCAACTTCAAATAAGATATTACAGCTTACTAAATTGCTACTATGTTACTGAATATTTCTAGTCAGATACTGAATTCCTAAGTTCCGATTCCCATTTTTATATAGACCATTAACAGTTCATTAACGTAATTTACGTCGATTTTTTCTCGCTAAGTACACAAATCTTTCGCTACGTTGAAGCGTTTAATTTGCATTAAAGACTGTTCATTTATGTCGGAACCGTTTGATGAGAAGTTTAATTTGTTTGTTTCTTCTATAAACTGCGCAGGTGCGACGGCGAAAGAGAGAGAGGGAGAGGGATGCGGAAGCGCCTACACAAACTTGACTGAAACCCGCGCACTGTTCTCCCGCGGAGATAGCACGAGTCTTGTTTACTTTTACAGGTGTCTCACTCATCGTCCTCACCCAATGTCTGTATCCTCGTTATCTCGACTAATGTGTCAAACGCAAATAAGCAAGAGCGAAAAATACAAAGGCAAAATGAAAACATCCGAATTTTATTTTGAAACACTAACAACTTGTTAGAAATTGCTATAAGCGTGTTTAATCCTCATCAACTTTTAAAACAAATACGGATTTCCGCGCATAACAACCGCATTAAAGCACATTAGTCGAAATTTTCCGTCATTAGTGATTGTTAAGGAACTGAAAAATTTATGCCATTTTAGAGATGAGAGATTCTATCAGAATATATTTTTTTAATTCGTACATAATATAGTATCGGCCGAATATATAGATTTGGGTGAAATATATTTTCAATTACAGCTTGCCAAATATGAATCGAGCTTGTAACATACATTAAAGTTCTTCATATGTTATTGAACTGAACTTAGCATTCTATCAACAAAGGGAATTTCCTAATGGAAGTGCGCTGTATTATGACAGGTCTTGCTGGCGAAGCAAATATTGTTGATGAATATTCTGACGTACAATTTTTCATCAAATATGGCTGCCTTGTCCATTTTACATAAAACTATAATAAATAAATTTACTTTGTAAAATGTATCGCATATTTGATTATTGGAGGAAATTCTCATATTAAATCATTCAATATCTGACTTATATTCTCCATATATATCAGTATACATAAAAATGAATTGACTGAATATCTGCAATGATTTTTCATTTATGTGTTTCATTTAATTCAAAATGAGGTTTCTATAGGATTAACCAAATACTTTATTTACAATGTTTAACTACAAATAATGTATTTATCCTTAGGTTATCTATAAAGCATTTAATCGTTTGACAAATTTTATCGCGTGGATATCTCTCATGTAATGATCTCGTACAGATAACGTGTACAACATGAAACAAAATGGCGTTTACTCGGCTTCCTACTTTAAGTTTCAAATTCGAAGACAGCAATGAAAAATACGAAAGAATTATTTTTCATTGACAAGGAAATATAGGGCATGTGGTGACAAAAACAGACGATATGCCATATTTTATATCATCGCTAATGTATTATATTTTTGTGAAGAAAGACAGTAGTCTCGCCATCCATACTAATGAATTTATTTACCATCATTATTCAACGAACTGGGACAGATTTTGGGGTTATCTGAAGGTGAAAATGGGGGTAAAATGAATTATTCAATGAGGAATAATAGTTTTTAAGTCGATTCCGAACGCCGTTATTTAAAATTCCACGTCAAAATAATACAATAAATACAAAACGACGTTTTGTTATGCGCCAAATTTTGACATTAAATAAGGTTTAAAATTATTTCATATTTTCAGCTTACAGCATCGCAGGGTTACAGCAAAAACAGCAGCAAAAATGACTGAAGAATGTAGATGCGATAGAGTGTGTTTTCTATAATAAATACCACAATAGCTTCGGGGTTCGTTGTTAATATCTAAGAGTGAACATTTATACTAAATACCAATAATCTATTTGAATTTATGGTGGCGCATTAATTAATTATTAGTGGAATCTTACAATATTACAGGTAAAACATTAGTTACATGTGGTAAATTCAGAAATATCACTGATCCTAATTACTTGATAATAGGAAGCTACGGCGTCGCCATTATCATAGCGGTCATTATCAGAGCAAAGGGGTTTTCATCAGGGGCCCCGCAGAGATGCACCTGAAGCAATGCGTTTATTTTTACAGGTTCCAACCTGTCTGGCTTCTGAACACTGAGCGATCTCCTGCAGACACGCACAAAGACAAAATGACGCAAACGTAAATCTAAAATGAACGTAACGTCAAAATAACTTTGTTTGTATATGATTATATCCTTATTTACTAAGGTATGTTTAGTCGACGAACAATGTAATTTGATGGTTTATTTAAATATGTAAATACACAGCTAACCGGATTTCCGAATAAATTGTTTGATTTATACAAAAAATGAAAAATAATAGGATATCGGAAATTATCATAAGAGCCATAGACCTTAAATATACCTCCGGCCATTGTAACAGGGTACAAAACTTTAAAAGAGAAGATCCCTTTTAATCATTAAATGATTGGTTTAAAATGCATTAGGTTAACTGGTTCCGAAACCCGGGGGAGAGGGAGTGGGGTGTGCGTTCAAAACAGATATAAGATTCGAACTTTTTTAGGATTTGTTATATTCAACTTGGATTTTTTTTTATTTTATGAATAATTTAGAATATATTTACTTGGAAAATTGCTATCTGGAGCTACTGACAACTTACGCTCAGACCAAAATATAAACCTAATTTAGCACACACTGACTGTTTAAAAAAAATAAGCCCAAGAAGCCAATGATTATGAAAATACATTGGAGAATTAAGAAAAAATAAATTTTTCAAAAACCTTTTTCGTGAAAATTCATGAAAACTGATCGTTGAATTTTTTCATTAGGCTATACCTAGTTCGTAATATATTCAGGTTGAGTGGTACGCAGGAGCATAAAGTTTCGGAAAACACCGAATTATAAATACAAATCAGTTAACAAAAATTTGTCTCGTTTTAAATCTTTTCAATAACAACATATCAATAATATTCTTTTTGTGAAAGACACTGATAAATTTATTATTTCGTTTTCTATTCAGAACATATTTTGGCTTAATTGCTTATCAGTTTGAGTATAGCACGGGATATTCTATAGATTAGATCAAGCTCAAAATTTTTGAAAAATCATTGCTACTATCAGTATGGTGATTAACGCCATCAATTTGCCTGGATATTCCCTGGCCTTTTTGATCCACTAATAATTAATAAATTGGTTGAAAAATTATTTCGCCTTCAATTTACTGATTTTGTTTTAGAGTATCGAGGTATAACAACGGGCTTAGTGATGTATCTGATGTTTGTATACATACCCGTCTGAATAAAATGGCCTTAATTTAGATTACATGAAGATAAAATGGAGAGGTTCATGCCATAAAAATTTGTTCGTAACGATCTTCTATGTGCCTGCCTCACAGTGTAGAATAAGTCACTCCCTTCATATTGAATCTGGTAACGGTTTCGATTTTTATTTTGGGATTATTTTAAAATTCCCCCTCAATTGAGTTCGATGCTAATTTTACCTTCAAGTATTGATATAAATGAGGATGTTTAAATATGAAGAGCTTACGTTTAAAGTGCCCTTCGATGTGAGTTCTCTGACAACTTAATTTAAAGATAAGCTACATTTATTTTACTGTTATTATATTGGACAATGATAAGATAGGGTAATACTGCAAATAATTGTTTCATGTCAAATATGCATTTCCAGTTCAGATCTATAATTACCCACGCGATGGGTAGGTGAGGATTAAAGAGCATCGGAACGCATAAAAGACATACGGAATAGGTTACACTACATTTAAAACTAGTTTTGGCACATTGATACTTTAGATTTTAGCGGGAAGCGTTAGATCTCGATCGCAAGGCTCTCATCCTTGGCTTTTTGTAAACATGTACCGTTTAATTTTTAATTAGACTTTCACAACGTTGAATGAAACCCCGATCGCTGTCACCGTCGATTTTTGAGTCGTATTAGGCGGTAATGTTCCGGTAGACTCAGATAGGAATCTGACTTTATACTGTGTGAGGGAAATTGTTCACCAGCATTTATTTATTCTATTCTGTCAATAATGGGTGATACAACAGAATGAAGTTGTAATTCTTTATGCACTTGAACCAAACTAATCTATTTAAAATAAAATATTTACGAAGAATGGTTGAAAAATAAACACATCCATGTATAATGTTATAATTACAAATCGAATTAAATTAAA